TGTTCGTGTGCACCTACAATAAGGAGTCTTTTTTGTATAAAATCACTTGCTGGTGCTGCCTGTCTCTCTCATGGTTGGACTACAAACAAGTGCAGGTAACACTTAAATGCTATGCACACTTCTGGTCACTGTTCCTTGGTATGACTATTATAGAGCTGGGATAGGTCAAGAAAAGGGCAATGAAAACGAGCAAGGGGCTGGAGCAGCACTGTTACATCTGGGACTCGTTAGGTTAGAGAAAAGGTGCAGGGATATTACACACATGCATAGTGGGAAGGGAGTGGACGGTGGATTTTTCTCCCTCTCTGTTAATACAGGAACCTGGACTCATCCCATGAAGCTGATTAGTGGGAGATCCAGCACAAATAAAAGGAAGGAGTTCTTTCCTTATTTTCTGTGACTGCTGCCTTTTCTTAGGAAGCTTTGGTGAGGAGCTTTGTCAAAAGCCTTTCAGAAGTCCAAGTAAGCAATGCCTACCAATTCCTGCCAAATACCACTTTACTGGCTCGTGTTTGAGTTCTTTAAGAACTCTGTCATGGACACAGCTGGTCCTGGTGATAGAATAACTTCCAGTTTGTCAGTAAGGTGGAAAACCTCAGGTTTTGTCACCATGATTTGCCTCATGTCTTCAGATTCCTTTCTTGAATACATCCACTCATGCATGGGAATCTGCCCCAAATTTTCTACAGTGGAAGCAATGGAAAATAATGTATTCCTCGAGCCATCTTTGTTGCTTCAGGTTCTGGTAGCCTCAGTGGCATGGAGGGCCTTCTACCAAGTCTGGCTGGTGGCCCAGGTGTATAAAAAAGGGATAACTTGGTTTCAGTAATCTAAAGTTCTAGTAATGTCCTCTATAGGGAGCTGCCCTTGAAAACTGTTCAGAAGCTGCAGCTTGTACAAAATGCAGTAGCCAGACTAATAAATGCAACCAGTAGGTCTTAACATATGGGACCAGTTCTGGCCCACTTGCACTGGCTGCCTTTATGCAGCTAAGTCCAATTCCAGGTTCCTCGGAGCACAGTACTTGAGAGATGGCCTCTCCGAACCACGATTTGTCTGGATACTCCAGTCAACATCTTGGTCTTTTTTCTGAATGTCCATTCGGAGGGAGGCTCAGAGGGCAGAAGTAGGAAGGAGGGCCTTCTCAGTAGCAGCCCCAACTGTGGAATGACTTCCCTAGTAAGGCCTGTCTGATGTCAATCTTGTCATCATCTTGACATCACTTCAAGATGATCCTCTGTACCAAGTCATTGAGAGTCATGTTTTGAAGGTCTACCTTGTATTATATTTCATTTTAGTTGTTTTTAACTTTTAGTATTTTAGAAAGTTGTTGCGGCACTTTATTGCATTTTTTGTTTTATGAGCAGTTTTAATCCACCCAGGGAGCTTTGATGATTGGGTGGTAAAGAAATGAAATAAATAATATTCATATTTCAGTTTCTTTGCAGTCTCCTTATCTTCATTGAGTAGCCCCTTTACTTCACCAATATCCAGTGGTTAAGCTTTCTCGCTGGTTGGTTTCTTGCATCTGATATAGTTAAAGAATTCTTCTTCCTGGGCTTCAGTGTTATTAGCATTATGCTCCTCAACGTTCTTTTCCAGTATCTTACATTGCCAGCCTTCATCTCCTCTGTGCAGACTTGAGCCTTCTTTTGTTCTCCTCATTTGGACAAGCTTCCATTTTCTGAAGGAGACCTTCCTTTCCCCGCTTTGACCCTGGTCCTAACCGTGCTGGTGACCTTGTAGACTTGGCGATACCCTTCCTAAATTGCAGTATACATTTGATCTAAGCTTTTATTCCTGCAGTTTTGAGTAAATGCCAAGCATTTTGAAGGTTTTAACCCCTCCAGCTCCCACTTCAACTCCTTTTACAAATTTCCTTATTTCAGAGAAGCTTCCTGTTTTGAAGTAAAATGTTCCTGTGTTGACTTGCTCATTAATGGTATTTTACCATTGATATATTAAATCTGATAACAGTGTGGTCACTATATCCAAATGGATCGATAAAATTTACAGATTATACTAGGTCTCGGGTGATGCTGCTTTGAATTTAATCCACGGTTGCCTTTGCTTTGGTCACTTCCATAACCATTTGTCCGACCGCACGGTCATTTAGGGCATCAAGCAATTTTGCCTCTTTGGTATGACTGGAACACACATTTATCTAGGCGATGTGGGGGCAATTGGAGTCACCATTATTCCAATAGTTCTTCATCTGAAAGCCTCCCTAAGTTCATTTTTCATCTCAAGAACACCCTGAGCATTTTTGTCTGGGGGACAATAGCCTGAATCGAAAACTAAATTAGTTTTGGAGCTTGGTATTGTTAGCCACAGTGTTTCTGTAGCAAAATCTGTTGCTTTTGGGTTTATCAGTCAGCTAGAGGCTATATGCTTTTGGATGTACAGAGTGACATCTCCTCCAGTAACTTGTTTCCCAGCAGTTCTGCCCATTCCACCAGGTTTTTATAACTCCCACTATACCTAGATATCTGTACGTATAATGTCCATCAGAACAATTTCACATAGTTTCCCTCCACAGATGAATCTGTCACGTGCCTCATCTGCTACGGCACTTAGGTCTCTTTGATCAGCTGTCGTGTTTCACCTATGCTCAAGGCCTACTTTTGCCATGTCTGCTTTTGGACAGTCAGAAACTTGCCCAGCTTTATTCTCCAGGGACCTAACTGAACTGGATGCTTCCCAGCTTCTCTTGGCATTCTCCCGAGGCTCACTTGTCATCCATGTGCTGAGACTCCATAGCTGTGCCTGCCTAGCTGGCCCTGCACATGGAACAAAGCAACAGTTCAGAGAGTGCTGCCTTGGTGGTTCTGGATTTCAACCTTCTACCTAAATTAGGTTTTCAGAACATTTCTAGAACATTTCCACTTCATTGGTACCATGATAGGCCATGACCAGTGATTCCACTCCAGGACTATCTACAATGCTATCTAGATGGTGCATGTTATCTGCAAACTTTGCATAAGGCAGGCACCAGGTGGTCTGCACATTCATCACTAACCCTATTGTCCATGTGTCTGATGATGTTACCTCCTTCTACCAGAAGCCCCTTTGCTGCACATTCTTGCTGAGAGGGGATATTTCCTACTCTTCCAAGGAGTGGATTCCATCTAAGAGTACATTACCCTCTTCCTCAGAATGATGCTTTCCTTCCCTGAGATGCCCTTCTCAATTACAGCAAAGGAGCAGTCTCCCATGATTGGGTCACTGCTATCAGGCACCTGAAGGTCTGGTCTACCAAGTTCTTTGCCTCTCTTAGTTTCTCCAGGTCTGCAACCATGGCTTCAAAGGGAACAATCCCATTCCCTGTGAGCCAGGGGCTCATTACATAGAGCACACACCCACACCTGCTGTCCACCTGCAAGGCAGTCATTGTTGTTGGGTCTGTTTACCCAGAAAACTAAGTTGTGTACTAGGAAGAATAAACATACAGGAAAGGTATCCATCTCTAGTTATTTATTGTGAGAAGAGCTGACCGTTTTGGCCTCCTTGTTCTGTGGCTAAGATCACACAGGTGAGGAATTAACTCACTTCTTCACTGACACTTAGTCACTGAGCCTGAGCCACTTTGCCACTGGGGCTCCTTACACAGCTCTAGCAAGCTTGGCCCAACTGCTGCTGCAGCCACACTGGTGAGGGGGCCTCATCTAAAAAGTCTGGAAGGCTGCAGCTGGTCTGCGTTAGCTACCAACGAGTAGCGATGTTAGGTCAATTTTGCCTCCTGGGACTGGAGAGCTGCTTCTTAGAGGAGAGAAAAAGTAAAAGGGTCGTTGGAAGGAAGAACAGGCAAGGGTAGTGATCTGAGAAGGGATGCAGTTCAGGCTTTGCTGGGGATTCAAGCAGTTGAAGGGAAGGGATGGTACTGGGGGGGGACAGTGGTGGGAAGGGACATGGTGTACAAGAGTTCTTTTGTGGGGTTTCTAAAAGTTGACAACTGAACTTTTCTGAGCTTTAGTTTTGAACTGCTCTACAAGGCCTAAAACCTTGACCTACATGGAGCCCAAACTGAAGCTAGTTGGCCTTTTAATGAAGGTTCATACCCACGTTTGTGAATAGGGATTGTTACATATTTAAATACATGCATGTATGAATAAATGAGTACCCCAGTTCAGGACAATGGAAAGAAGCACAATGCATGAGACTCTTGCCTCTATGTACAAAGTCTGAATTAAATATGACTGAAAAGGAGATATCCTTTTCCTGAATCAATGCTTAAGGCATAAGTATTTTTAAAAATATCTACTGGATTATCTCTTCTCAGATGTGAAATTCCTTTAGAGTGCAGTGCCGTGCGAGTTTAGAAAGAAAAATGGCCTGAAGGGAGTTTTAGGCCTTTTTTCCACCTGAACATGCACAAGACTGTGCCTTGAGTCTCTTAGCTATGCCTTTGGTGTACTGGCATGTAGAACCTATTCTACGCACAAACAGCCACACAAGTGTTGCTACTTCTGAGTCCTGTTTTCACTATCAAGTCCAATGTTATGCTTCCCACAAAGGCTTTTACTTACCATCAACCAAGAAAGGAGAGGTATAAATGCAGTGCAGCATCGTTCGTTTTAACCCATTACGCTGCATCATAAAGAAAAGCAAATATGGAGCAACAGAATGCCAAAGAGTCACTTAACAGAGGCCTTCAACCAGTTGTTACTGTTTTCTCTGTACACCTTAAATGGAAGCTTGATATTAAGTCCATTGCAAGTATGTCCTGGTAATTGTACAGTACTTTGAATATGCTACACAATTACACCTTTGGGTGTGTCTCTGTGGCAAAGAAGGTAGTCTGAGATGTTGGAAGTCTGAGGAGTTTCTCCTGGAACTGACAATGCTTTCATGCCACAATCACGCACATGGGCAGCAGTTCTTATTCTCAGCTATTGTCCACTGAACAATTTTACCGAGTCGCCTGAGGTTTAGATTTCCCATGGTGATTCTGCGCTCACTGGAATTACCACACAAAGCTTTTCAGTATGACATGCACGTACCTTGGTTGTGTAAGTATGTCCATCAGAACCACAAACAGGACTGGCATGTGTCAAAGGGCATGGCTTGCATTTTACTAAATTGGCTGGCCCAATCCAGTGTCTCTGGGGAAGGTTTTCTTTCTTCTGCCGAAGGCTGGAAAAAAACAGAAGGAAGAAATATGCTACAAAAAATATTCTTGCCAAATAAGGTGCATGAAGCTATGGCTATATCTAGTATAAAATGTATTATATAGCAGCATTTTCAGCATTACATTTTCAAGCACAGCACAAACTAGAGAGTTCACTTAAACACTTTTTTGTTTTAATAAGAAGAGATGGGCATGGGAAGCACTTTTTCACAAAAAGCTACTGGCATTTCCAGACATTTGCTGGCTTGATCTTCGCTCAGCTCACTTCCTAACCAGGGCTGAGCATGGGAAAGAAGTCCAGCAGGCACAGGAGAGCCAGGTGCTGGCCTGAGCTTTGCAAGTCTGATCTAGAGAGGGCATGCCAGTGGGGGGCAGGACTGGGGCTGGAGAGGCCATAGGATCCCTCGTATCCTGGCTGCTCTCCTTTCTGCTCCCCATCTGCACTGGCACATCTGCTGTCTGGGGAAGAGCTGGCATAGTGCAGGCTGGGGAGCCTGAATGGATACCTGAACTCTCCTTCTGAGGTCATGGCAGCCTCTGTGGCCTTATAGGAGGGACTCCAAAGAATCCCATGGTTTCTGTGATGGTCTTCTGAGACATCGGATCACTCTCCCTACGTCTAACTTCTTACATCAAAAGCTGTAAACGGAAACTTCATAAAGACCACAGATAAAAGATTCAACAGACTCAGGAATACATTTTATACTGGAACGCTCAAGCATCTCATACAATTTTAAGAAGATGGGAGTACATGGGTTAATATAAATAATTTTATGTTGAACAAGAATTGGTTAACTGTGAGAATTAACACTGTCAGACATGGCATCCTAGTAGGACAAATTATATACACACACATGTACACATTCTTTGGTCATGCTATTAATAATGAAATAGATATTAATAACATTAAACAAATGAAAATCCACATCGTATGTTTAAAAATGGGACATGCACAGCTGAGCTCATCCTTTGCAATTCAATGCCATTTCTAGTTCTGTGCCCGGATTTCTTCGTCCTTTATACCATGCTCTACTTTTGTATTAAGAACTATTTTTTGGATTTCTAATGCCTTCAGGAAACCTGCAGTGTACAGCTTGAACATCCAAAATGAATAGCGATCATAACTGTGATATTGATGTGCTTGCTTCATCTCTGTAAAATTCTTACTTCTTTACTTCTCTTTTAACTGTTCTTCAAAATGAGATTCTCCTTACACTCGTGCTTGAATTCTAAAATGTTACTTGCATTGTACACACTGTGATGTGATGCCAACATGTTGTGCATTCATCATTTCACTGAAAGCACATCCTCTGCTGACTCAACAGCATGAGCAGTAGTCCTGAAAGCCAAAGGTGTGCCTTACTCTCCGCTCTTGGCAATGAACAGCAGCCAAATGAAGCTAAGGGGGGTACTGGGCACCAATGTCCACAGATATTCTGCCCACACTCCAGTGTTTCCCAGTAGTGTAATACTTGATCTCCTCCTCATTTCCTATTTGTCTATATCTTCCACACTGTGGTATTACTCATAGACTCCTGATATATCAAACTCTTTCAGAATACATACATTTCCATGCTGCTTCAGTGCAATGAGAGCTCTGCCTTGGCCCTAATTTGAAACCATGGTTCTGAAGCGAATTACCCATCTTGATCAAGACAAGTCAGAAGAGTTTAATGAGAAGGTCTCTCTTTTCAGAAAACAAATGTGGATAAAAGAAAATCCATAAAGCCCTGCATAAACACAGGGTGTTTTGAAATGATAAAATCCATTTTTCCCCAAGAATGCTAATTCTGTTTTTAAGCCATGCTTATATTCTGTCGAATAATTTTAGTTAAACATGATTAGTATTACTAGATAGTGTTTGTGGAGTCTGGCATCTGAAGTAATCGGGAATCACAGCTCTGTGCTTTGCATCAACAAAGAAAAATACTGGGGCACAGTTTTGCTTAGGAGCAAATCCTGGTTAGCAGCTAACATGGCTAACAGCAGTAGAAATGTAATACCTAGCCATGGATATGTCCAGCAATGTGAGGAGGGGGAATTTGTTTCTGGGAGAAGCAAGGTGGGAAAGGAGATACGGACTTCCTGATCTAACGACCTTCTCCTTTAACCACGCTTAAGTGACTGCAGTGCTTTGTGCCCATACACTGCATATGATACTGGCCTTCTAGATGACACAACAATGGGTGACATAAAATCCCATAAACAAATATTTGCAAGGTAAAACATCAATCCGATTGCTTTGCTTTAATGCAAAAGAACATGAGTGCAGTTAGTAAACAAATACATTTAAACCAAATGTCTTTATCAAGGTTCAGGAAAAGACATGGAGGCCCCTGAAAGCAATTTCACCTCAGTTTGCAATTTGCCGCACAATACCAAGTATGTTGTAGTGTCACATTCCACTGCTAAAATAATGAAAAATCTATTCTTTCATTTCAGCTCAAGCTTTCTTCTGTCCCAGCCTTTGTCACTGTGATAAATAGTACTATTATGAAGCTTGTGTCCACAGAAGCAACCCTATCACAATATTACAAACTACAGACAGAAAACCCTGCAGTCAGAACCATTATCAAGAAGCAGCTCTCCCAATATATAACAGCAATAAACTTCCAGAATGCATTCAACTTCCCCGAAAAACATGGTTAATTAAGAGGTATTCTAGATTCATCCAGAAGCTGTGTCTGGTTTCTATAAAGTTCACACTGATACCTCATTGTTACGGCAGAATAAGAATGAATGATGTCACCAGGAGCTCTCAATTGGTGAACTCTGGCCATTTTTCCAGAGAAACTATTTTTTATTATTGTGACGATTTTACAAACTAGGGAGTGTGTCCTGTTTATATGTTATTTTGAATGTTCAATTTGCCTGTTTTTGCCTCCCCCCCTGGAAAGTGCTACGTGGCATCTGGCATCCATCCTTCCCGTTGGCATACTAGTGGCATATCTCTAGTCCTGGCATAATGTAAGGGTAGGTCTTGTCCACCGGACGCCTGTGGGTACAAATGGCTAGTGCTCGTATAGGCACAGATCTTTCCTTCTCCCTCTGTTTGAGAGCTCCGAGTAAGCTGTGCAGTCATACCCCCCTGCACGAAGCAAGAGCACAAGCAGCTGCAACTGGTGGGGTCTAAGGTGAGAACCGGAACACGTCACATTGGGTGGGAAAAATCCTATGTGCAACCCACATGGACTCCCTAAGCGCAACTTGAATATTTTAAAGAAACCAATGGGATCTTGTTAGGAGAATTCTGAAAAAAGATTTTGATTTAATTTTTAATGTACTGTCGTTGTTTGGTTTCAGATGTAAACCTGAACATCCATGGTGGGTATTTTCAAAAGGTGGTCTTCGATGATGGACAAGTTGCTCGACCCATTCCCTAGTGGAATGGCCTTGTCACTGAGCAGTGGCAGGCTTGGCATGAGGAAGGAGCGGGCAGCTGCTTTTCATCATCACCATCTGGGCTACATATGACCGGTTCGTCATATGTGGAAAACCCAGGAAAAATCCAAAGCTGGATAAGCTAAATAGTTATTTTTTTTAAAGCAGAGTATCTGTCACAATTTATCTTACCTCATGCTGTGAAACTCTTCATTTCCAAACATAATTTAAAACTAGAGGACAGCTGCCAATAGCCATATAGCACCAGAAGTATTAAATAACAATGGCTTCTGTGCCAAAAAGGTCTGAATGTGGTTGGTCTTGGACCTCGGCTCATTTTTTCAAGCTGATGATCGATTGTGTCTTACCAAACAACATCCATCTTTTCCCACCTACTCAAAGGCTGCAATTAGTTCATATTGTCTGCCTATTCATTCATGTGTTATTCCACTTAATCCATCAACTTGTCTGTTAATGTGGTACCTTGGATGCCAAAAAATTTCAAAGATGGCTATTATTGCATACTTCAGTTGCAGATATAACAGAAATATTGCTGTGATGGAGATTGGCTGTGGATGGAGAAAAATCAGATGAATGGCAACCTGCTGGGCGACAATTTGCATAGCAGGTGTTAGTTACAAGATGTGTGCCTGAATGCATCAGCCAAAATTACACTTGCAAATTTAACTTTTTAAATGGATAGAAGTGTATCGAATGGATCCGACCAAGTGGCCAACCAGCAGGACATCAATGCAACAGCACCTTCTTGCCCATGTCCCTCAGCAACTGGTTTGCATAGGCACATTACCTCTGATACCGGAGACAGCACAGAGTCACCCAGACTAGTACATTACATCTTGTGTAAGTGAATTCCATTGTTTGACAACGCACTGTGTGAAGTGGTCCTTCCTCTCATCCATCCTGAACACCCCACCAGTCTTCACAGGACAACCCAGGATGTGGGGAGAGAGGACATCTCCCTGGAATGGCTTATACTCCTTATAGGCGTTTTAAATTAAAAGAGCCACCGACAACCACAGGGGGCAATCCCATGGTCCATAGGAAGTTGCAAATTTCCTAGCTATGATCTCAGGGGAAAGATCCGAGTGGGGTATGCCCAGCTGCTGTAGAAAGCTGTGTAGCATCCAGTGATAAAACAGCAACCTTGAAAGTTTGGGGGGAAGGCAGAAAAGGGGAAGGATGGTGTGATTTCTTGCAGGGATTTAGGCAGGGTGTGAAAGGATGGGGAAGGAGACTTTCTCCTCCATTTCCCCATCTATTGAGCAGTAAGGAAGCCAAATGAGCCACAATGAATATCCAGCTTTCTTTCCTTTTTTAGGTGGAAAGGGTGATCTCTGACTTCCACTGTTCCTCCATCCCTGCTGCAAGGCTTTGGATAGGCCAAGGGATCCTGCCTTGGAGTCCTTCCTCTATAAATGGCAGTTCTCTTGGGCTAAATTCCTAAATAAATGCACTGGGTAAAACTACCAAGTACCGGTTGCCAAACTTAGCCCACCCAAGTGTCTTCAGAAGTACTGTTTCTTAGCCCTTTAATGTAAATCCATCCTATCTAACATTCAATACTAGATTAGGCAATGTTTGATGGTTTGGGAAAAAAGAAAAC